GACTATATATGCCCTGTGCTGTACTTTACGTATCTGTGACTATTCTGTAACTATCATCCCTTTACCTTTTTTACCCATTCCCCTAACCCTCCTCCCATCTAGCAACCATCAAAATGTTCTCTGTATGAGGTTGTCTCTGCTCTTCCTGTTCATTTTGTTTTTTTAAATTCAGTTGTTGTTATACATATTTATTGCCATTTTATTCATATTTTTTCTTTTCCCCCCCAAATATGTTTTTATTGATTTCAAAGAGAGGAAGGAAGATGGAGAGAGAGAGAGAAACATCAACGATGAGAGAGTCATTGATAGCTGCCTCNGAAACATCAATGATGAGAGAGTCATTGATAGCTGCCTCCTGCATGCCCCGTACTGGGGACTGAGCCCCAAAGTCAGACATGTGCCCTGACTGGGAATCGAACTGNAACATCAACGATGAGAGAGTCATTGATAGCTGCCTCCTGCATGCCCCGTACTGGGGACTGAGCCCCAAAGTCAGACATGTGCCCTGACTGGGAATCGAACTGTCACCTCCTGGTTCATAGGTTAACGCTTAGCCACTGAGCCATGCCAACCGGGCTCTTCTTAAAGAAGACCCTTTAACACTTCATGTAATACTGGTTTGGTGGTGATGAACTTCTTTAGCTTTTCCTTGTCTGGGAAGCTCTTTATGTGTCCTTTGATTCTAAATGAAAGTTTTGCTGGGTAGAGTAATCTTGGTTGTGGGCCCTTGCTTTTCATCACTATGAATATTTCTTATCAACCCCTCTGGCCTGCAAACTGGCCTGCAAAGTTTTTTTTAAGAAATCAGCTGATAGTCTTATGGGAGCTCCCTTGTAGGTAACTTTTGTCTTGCTGCTTATAAGATTCTGTCTTTAACCTTTTGCTTTTTAATTATGATGTGTCTTGGTGTGAGCCTCTTTGGGTTCATCTTGTTTTGGACTCTCTGTACTTCTTGGACTTGTATGTCTGTTTCCTTCATCAGGTTAGGGAAGTTTTCTGTCATTATTTTTTCAATTTCTTGCTCTCCCTCCTCTTCTTCTGGTACACCCATGATGTGAATGTTGGTATGCTTGAATTTGTCCCAGAAGCTTTTTTTTAATCCTTGCTCGAGGATATTTTCTCCATTGCTTTTTCAGAGAGAGTGAAAGGGAAAGAGAAAGAGAGAAACATCAGAGAGAGACATGTTGAATGGTTGCCTCCCACTCGCACCCCAACTGGGGCCGAGCCTGCAACCGAAGTATGTGCCCTTGGCCAGAATCGAACCCTGGACTGCTCAGTCCATAGGCCAACACTCGAACCACTGAGCCAAACCAGCTAGGACGAGTCTCCTTATTTTTTCAGATTCTTATTTCTTTTGGCTGTTCTGATTGGGTGGTTTTTGCTTTCTTATATTGCAAATCACTGATTTGATTCTTGGCTTTATCTACTCTACTGTTGATTCCCTGTAAATTATTCTTCATTTCAGTTAGTGTATCCTTCATTTCTGACTGGTTCTTTTTTATGGTTTCTTTGACCTTTTTTTATGATTTCTATTTACTTTTTTTTTTTTAAATCCTCACCTGAGGATATGCCTTTTCATTGATTCTAGAAAGAGAGGAAGGGAGAGGGAGACAGAGAGAGAAATATCGATGTGAGGGAGAAGCATCAGTTGGTTGCCTCACACACGTTCCCTGACCAGGGATTGAACCCACAACATGGGTATGTGCCCTAACCAGAAATCAAACCCTCAACCCTTCAGTGCATGGGAAAGCACTCTAACCACTGACCCACACTAGCCAGGTCCATGTCCTTTTTATGCTGTTGAAGTTCTCATTAAGTTCATTGAGCATCCTCATAACTAGTGTTTTGAACTCTGCATCTAGTATTTTGCTTATCTCCATCTTGTTCAGTTCTTTCTCTGGAGTTTTGTTCGGTCCTTTCATTTGGGCCATGTTTCTTTGTCTCCTCATTTTGGCAGCTTCTCCATGTTTCTTTCTATGTTTTAGGTAGAGCTGCTGCACCTCCCAGGCATAGTAGAGTAGCCAAATGTAGTAGGTGTCCTGCAGGGTCCAGTGGCGCAGCCTTTCTGTTCACCCAAGCTGGGAACTCCAGGTGTGCCCCATCCACCTCACCCCCAGGGCTGTGTACAACCTCCTGTTGTAGTTGAACTTTGATTGCTGTTGGCACATCAATGGAAGGGATTTGCCCCCAAACCGATCAGCTACAAGGACTAGCTGTGACCACCATGGAGGAACAGCTGTGCAGGCGCCCACCCCTATGGAGCAGGGCTTCTTGGGCAGGGCTCTGGTGCTGTCTGAGTTTTCCCCTTGAGTATTTGGCTTGTGGAGGTGGTTGGGTGGTACTTCTATATATGGTCTGAAGTTGTCCACCAGGTGCGATGGGTCTGAGGCCTCCCTGGAGGTGCAGGCCAAGGTCAGTCACTGCCTGTATTCTGCCTGAGGCCTCCTGGCATGAACTCTACAAAGTGATCTGCAGATGGCTGCTACTTGTGCTGAGCTTGGAGTTGTCCAGGAGAGGCCTAGTTGTGAAGCAAGTCTGGCTGCCGCTAGTGCCAGGCCTGGGGTCACTTAGCAAGAGGTACTGGTCATGCTGAGGCTATATACTGCTTGTTTGAGACATTTTAGAAAAGTCTGAAGCATGAGCCAAGACAGGCCAATCGTATGGGAAAGCCACTGGAGACAGCTTGGGTAGGCCCCAAAGTTGGGTTGGGTGAGGTCTCAGGGAATCACCAGGGCGGGGCAAGCAGTGATAGCTAGGTTGATGGATACTCAGATATGGCTCTGTCGGGAGGGCTCAACAAAGGACAAGTGGCCTCTGCCAGCACTTCTGTCTGGGAGAAAACTACCCCTCGAGCTCTTGCCCTGGTGCCAGATAATTCAGTTCCTCCCGTATGTCCCTGGCACCCTTTGAGCTGATGCCCCAACATTGGAGCTCAGAGAAAGTGAGTCTGAGTAAGTCTTCTAAGAGGAATGGCTGTAGTGAATAATGCTGGTATGAACATGATTGTACAAATATCTCTTTTGAGATTCTGCTTTCAATTCTCTTGGATGTATACCTGGATGTATGATTGCTTGATTATATGGTCATTCTATTTTTTACTTTTTAAGGAACCTCCATACTATTTTCCATAGTGACTGTTCATACATTCTCACCAGCAGTGAACAAATGTTCCAGCTTTTCTGCATCTTCACCAACACTTGTTATTTTCTGTTTTTTAGAGAGAGGCCATTCTGATGGGCATGAAGTAATACATAGACTTTAAAAGCATTTATTGACTCAAAAGGGACAAGTTCTCAGTTATCTAACAAATGTGTATCTTACTATTCATATTTACTAAAACTCTATTTTCCTATTTAACTATTTTAAAGTTCTCAATAACTGTACATGAGATTAATAGCTTTCACAGTCATTATGTATTGCATTTTACTCTTATAATAATAAAAAATATTTTTTATACATCATTTGACAGAATTTCAATATATAAGGCATATAAAGCTATTTTTACTGAGGTTATAACTAGGATGCTTACCTTTAGTTGAAAGTAAATACTCACATAGTAGCAGTAAATTTAAGTGCTGTGCCCTGCTGGTATTACCAACACTGATTACATACAATCTCATGATCATTGATCCACACAGGTTTAGGAATGCTACAAGTATCTCTGAAGTTGGTTTTCAGTTCTCTTGCATTCCAGAAGCTAGTAGCAGATTTTGTCTAAATACTGAGTTTAAATTTCTGATCTAGGTGTAATTTATCTGGGGGTACAGTATGAGGTATGGATCCAACATTAATTTTTTCCAGGTACTTACCCAGTAGTCCTCAAACCTAGAATTGAACTAGCCATATTTCCTCAATGATTATGATGGCACCTTTATCATGAATTTTCATGTGTATTTTATCTTTTTTGTTGTTTGACATGTCAGCCTTAGGGTCATTTTAACTGATTCCAGTGTTATACTCCTAAATAGTATCCCTTTGTTGTTTTTCTTAACGCATTTTTGGTAACTTTAACTTATTTACCTCTTAATACCCTTTGAGGGTAGGTATTAATATGACTTCATCTGGACATAGTAGGATATGTTGAATAATCAGTGAGTCAGTCCTACTTTGCTGTTGAAGGCCCAGAGGGCCAGAGACATTAAGTTACCCAAGGACACATAGCTAGTCCTTTGTGCAAGGGCCAGGTGTTAACTCATGGTTTCCACTCCCAACATACGCTTCTAATCACCATGAGACACAATGAGCAGGATGTTAAAGGTCTCTGGAGACAAACATGGGGTCAGTAATAAAAATTGCTGACATTTATTGAGCACTTACATGTGAAACATCTGTTGCATGCTTCCTGTATTACTCTACTTGTCCCCACCCCAGGCCTCTGTGGAGGCACTGTTACTATCCCCACTTTGCATGAGAGGAAACAGTCTGTGTAAGCTACCTTTTCTCTGCCTCAGAGTTAACAGATTTCTTTATTACAGCACTTTTCAGTGCCTATAACACAGCATTCCAGTGAAATGTGTACACTGTTCACAAGAAGTGGTTAACAGACCAGCTGGGCTGGGGTTGAGCATTTTGAACTTTGAAACTTTTTACGGTAACTAAGAAATTAAAGATGGTCTCTTCTACCTGTTTAAATGCATGTGATTACATTGTGTAGGATATTCTGAATACTGTTGGTGGTGCGAGTCTCCAAGAGAAGATGGACCTGTTGGCAATCAACTGGTCCTACTTAGGCTCACTGCTAAGTTTTGTATGGACGTTATCTCATTTTAGCCTCAGGACAGCCTCATGCACCTCATGAGCTAAGACAGCCCATTCTGCAGGTGAAGAGCTGGGTCCCAGAAGGTTAAGTGCTTGGCTTACTCAGGTCTGTGGTATCTAGGAATTGCCAGTGCTGGGACTCATGCCCTCATGTGTCTCACCCTTCTCATCTCCCAGTGTGTAGGCACCAGATGAATGTCACTGCTTGTTCTCTTGGACAACTTTGCTTTTCTCTTCCCCAGGGCCACGATCATGTCTCTCGAAGACTTTGAGCAGCGCTTGAATCAAGCCATTGAAAGAAATGCCTTCCTGGAGAGCGAGCTTGATGAGAAGGAGAATCTCCTAGAATCTGTTCAGCGACTGAAGGATGAAGCCAGAGGTCAGGAGGCCTGGGCTTTGTTTCACGTGCCCTCACCAGCATTGCCCCCTCCCTACCTGAGAGCACTGCCTGGTGTTACCTTTGCTGGAAATCTGCGCCCTACTTGGCACATAGGCTGTCTGGTCAGAGCGTGTGGGACCACTCTGAGCAAGCTCTAGCCTTGGTTCCCACCCCTTGCTAAGAATGGTCAGATGTCCAGACTAGAAAGACCCCTTGTGGGTATTTAAACCCACCACCAGCTTTATGCTCAGGAGGAGCACAAGAGTTTCGTGGGGGAAAATTCCTGTTGATGTAATTGCCAGCTAGCCCATTATTTTTGTAACTTGATGGCAGCTGATATATTTGCTCTTTGGAGGTTGGCAATTCCAGAGGTAGAGCTTTCAAACTGTAATAAGACATTAGTGTATCATCCAAGTTGGATGTATAAGAGATTTTTTTTAAAAAATCCCAATTAATTGTTTATAGCATTTAGTTTATAATGTGGAAGGGGGATTAAAAAGAAAAATTCGGGTTTAAAAGGTAGTTGTTCCTAAATGTCCATCAGTAAGGAAGTGTGGTTAAATGGATTACATAGACTTATTTTGTGGAATGTAAAACAATTGTTAAAACAAGGTATAAATATAAACATGGTCCTAGAACAATTATTAGGACATACCACTGAGGGGAGGAGAGTAAGTCATAGACAGTAGATGTATGTTTCTGTTTATGCTAAATAAAAATTACTCATTACTCAGATGCTTAATATATATACATATACATACACTATAAATTGTATGTATGAAAGTTCAGAGAAAAAGGATTGGAAAGGTCTCCGTGTTATAGTCACTATGAGTGAGGGAGGGGCATTTGGGGATGGGTTGGGAAGAGTATTTTTTCACTTAGTGTTCTACGTACCCTGCCACACTGGAATTTTTTTGAAACAAAAGTATTAGGGTATCATTGCCATAGTTAAATTTTTTTAAACCTTTTTGTTTATACTCAAAAGAAAAATCATGTAGTTTTATAAGCCTGCTAGGCAGTATCCTGTGGGCTTCATGTCATTCAGAGTTTCTACCTGGGGTTTCTCACCCTGATACTGCTTTTCCTTGACCAATGTCAACTGCTGATCCCTTCCCCTCCCCCAGCCCCATCACCCAAAACAAGGACTTAATCGGAATCCTTTTCCTGGCCCAGATTTGCGGCAAGAATTGGCTGTACAGCAAAAGCAGGAGAAACCCAGGACCCCCATGCCAAGCTCAGTGGCAGCTGAAAAGACAGACACAGCTGTGCAGGCCACTGGCTCGGTGCCATCCACTCCCGTGGTTCATCGGGGACCCAGCTCTAGCTTAACCACACCGGGGACGTTCAGACGTGGTAAGGGGAATGGAGGTTGGGAGGACTTTCTTTGCTTCACAAACCTTTCCTGGGTGAGAACCTGGCATGGGTCCTGGGTGAGAGAGAAATTGGACTGGGCTAGACAGCAGAGAGCAAACTGGGATGCTCACAGGGCAGAGCATTGAGGCAAGTGAAAAGGGTCTCGGGTGTGAGGCAATAGAGAACAGTGGAGTCTGTGGTGAACTGGAAAATGAGGGGGCTCTGCTCCTACCACAGGAAGTTGGGCCTAGCATTAGCAGACATTTCCATTCACAGGAAGCCAGAAGTTCTCTTGTTGAATATGAACTCTCCCAAATTTAAAATTTCTGTAACCAAATAAAAAGCATTTTGTGGTCCAGCAGTATATCCAACCAGAAATGGAGCCAGTGTAACCTGTGCTGTGTTGTAAAAATGAGGAGTTTGAGTTTTCACCCCAGCCCCTCTGCTGACTAACTGTGAGATTCTTAAGCATCACTTAATAGCAAATAATAATAGACAATTATTGAGTGTTTAGCATATGCCAGTCACTCTGCTTAAAGTGCTTCATATATATATATATATGACCTCACTGAATTCTCACCACAGGCCCAAGGTACAGATAGAAAGTGCTATGCTTGTTTGATGAAGGAGACTGAGGCCCTGAGTTGAGGGTCTTGTTATGCAGCTGGTGAATGGCAGAGTTGGGATTCAAGCCCAGGCAGACTGGATCCAGGGCTTACTATATCCTGCCTTATTCTTTAGCATAAAGGATATGATTTCAGAATCATAGTCTAGAGCAGTGTTTTCCACACTTTAGTAGGCACATGAGTTGGCTGGGCATCTTGTTAAATGCACCTCAGATTCAGCAGGTCTGGGCGGGGCCTGAGATGCGTTTCTGGCAAGTGTCCAAGTGATCCTGTGCTGCTGGTCCCTGGGTCCTGCTTTGAGAAGAGAGCCTGTGTAGAATAGAAACCTTACAAGTGTGGTTGGCTCAGAGGCTCTTCGTGTTGAATTGCTATGTGGAATTCGTGGGACTTCAGGAGGGCTCGTGCTCATTTTGTTATAAAAGAATAACATGTAGAGATAAGTATTTAATATAGTCATTGTAAGGCTGCTAAAGGTTGGTCATCAAATAGATTCTTACTGTGGGAGACAGTTAACAACCTATTGAATGAAACGGGGGGTGTCTAGAATCCAAGGCAAGAGTAGCCTCCCTCACCTACCCCTGGGGTTTTGCATTTAGAGATGCTCACAGACTTAAGACTGTGGGTTGATGTTACGTGTGCTGCCTTTTGCACACCCAGGTCTGGACGACTCCATGGGTGGGACCCCTCTCACGCCTGCAGCCCGGATATCAGCCCTCAACATCGTGGGAGACCTGCTGCGGAAAGTAGGGGTAAGACTCATTGGCTCCCTGGGGTTTGCTGTGGCTTCTTGCCTTCAGGATATGTGTGAGGGATTACCTTACCAGTTCCTTTCCCCTTTAACAGAGAGTTCATGAGTTCTAGGTGTTGCTTTGGGTCTGTCATGTCCTTTAGAATCATAGGAGCTTCTGTGGGTATTGTTATGGACAAACACCCAGAGCCCTGACTCTAAGTCATCTCTTTGATCCCTGGGTAGATCTTTCTTTCCCTGTACCATTTTTCCTTGGAATTTGGGAAGTTCAGGTGGTGTCTGTGATTCTTTTTCCTTAATTTGAAGAAAGCTGAGAAACATTTGAAAATTGCCTTCTCTTTATTTTCCAGGGAGTTAAAGAAAGAATATCTTGAAAGGCTAGGGCAGGGAACTTTATAGGTTTTATATTAATTACAGGGAAGAATTCTTTTGTGCTTAAGAAATAACATAGGGCCCACCTGGCGTGGCTCAGCAGTTGAGCATTGACCTGTGATCCAGGAGATCACAGTTTGATTCCCAGTCAGGGCACATGCCTGGGTTGTGGGCTTAATCTCCAGTAGGTGACATGTAGGAAGCAGCTGATCAATGACTCATCATTGATGTTTCTATCTCTCTCCCTTTCCCTTCCTCTCACTGAAATCAATAAAGATATATTTTAAAAAAAAGAAAGAACATAGATATTCTTTGTAGTTGTTCCTTTTATTTTTAAAAATGATGCTCCAAAGGCCACAAATTTAACTCCTGCCAGTCTGTTGTCAATCAGAATGCATGTATTCAGAGCAGCAACTTAATAGGAGCTCGAAACTCCTTTCTTATGTTTTTACTATGGTCTTTTGATTGTCTAGTTTTCTATTATATAAATGGGTCTCTGTTTTAATACTTTGCACAGTTAGAGTATAGAGAAGCCTGGGGATGGTCTCAGTGCGCTCTTGGTTTTTGTGGGGGTCTGTTTGCAGCCAGGCAAAGTCTTTGTTCAAATTTAGCAAGACAAACAAAAGGAAATGACCCCCAAAATTGATTTCATATTTCCCATAGGCAGAGTTGGATAATTGGTAGGGTTAGTGATTTTCCAGGAATCAGCTAAATATCTTAGGCTAGTGGGTCTAAGTTGGGGGTGCATTGGATTCCTTTGGGCCCCACTTGGGAATTCCAGCGCACAACACACTGTTTTAGGTTACTGTCTGCATATAGGCTCCAGTAAGAGAGATGAATTCTTGTCTTTAACTTGAGAAATGAAAGCATATTTCTCTCCAGGCACTGGAGTCCAAACTTGCATCCTGCCGGAACTTCGTGTACGAGCAGTCCCCAAACCGGACAGGTGGCCCCACCTCCGGGTGGGCGAGCAAGAACAGAGATGGCAGTGACAGACGGCCAAGCAGCACCAGCGTGCCTCTGGGTGATAAAGGGTCAGTACCTTTTACTGTCACTCTAGGTGGGAGCCTCTAACCCCTGACTGAAAGCCATTTTTTAAAAGTTGTAGGATTATGTCAGTGAACCTGATCCTCTACCCCTGTCCCTGGAGACAGAGTTAGGTGGTATCTTCTGTTTGGGCAAATGGCCAAGGAGAGGCTCGTCTTTATTATCAGATTCTGCAGCCCCACTCCTGGTCACACTGAGAGGATGTCCTGTATAAATCACTTGTTGGGACTTGAGCTTCTAACACTGCTCTGCTTCCTCCAGAAGAGGGTTTTGTCTTTTTGTTTTTTCTTTTTAAAATAAATCTTTAGAACCTTCTGGAAACTGGCCAGCCAGACTAGAATCCTGAAGCCAGTCACTGGATTGGAAAACAAATCTGACCTCTAATGGCTTCATATATTTTCTTGCCTGAAGAATATCAGGGCAGCTTCCAGCTTCAGTAACTTTCTAAGATGTGCCACCATCTTACTGGACCCCAAGCCACAGTCTTGTGGGCCCCTGGCAGACAGATGACAGGAAATGATGAATCGTTCTCTGTGGCATGCACATAACTTCCAGAACTTTAGAAATGGGTGTTTTTAGAGGGTCATCTGTACCTGGGCTTCTTGTGTGGCCTTGGGAATGTGAGAGTTAGACAGCCAGTGTCCTTTTCTTCATTTCACAGGAGAGAACATTGAGACGCAGTGACACTGCTCCTGACTCTTGATATTCACTCTTATAACTATGGTCCCCGATGCTAGTCAATCGTAGCAGCTGTAATGTCCGCTTAATTTGGTTTGCTCTGTCTGAAGGTCGGGAAAACGCCTGGAGTTTGGGAAGCTGCCTTCAAATCTGTCCTCACCATCGCTGCCGTCAGCCCAGGGTGTAGTCAAGCTGTTGCTTTAGGAAATCCACAGAAGTGAAGCCACTGGTGTCTGTGCGGGAGGTGTTACCTTTCTTCCCCTCTTCACACTAGGTTTTTGTTTTTCTAAGGTAGTTAGAGGAATATGGGCAAGCAGGTTACACTAGCTAGTGACTGAGGCCATCGCCTGTGGCCCCTGGTGGTTAACCCTGTGAAATGTCGTCTTATAATCCCCAGCCTCCTTGTTGGTGTGTTGCAGATGGACAGGGACAAACTGGACCATCTGGAAAGGGCTCTGAAGTGCGAGTGCTAAGGCCACTCCATCATTTTGAGCTGATCCAAGTCCTGATTGGTCTTGAGGTGTTTTTAACACCCAGAGATGCCTTACAAGGAGGATCTGAGCCCACCCTAGCCCCATTCAGCTGGAGCTGTCTTCCAGAACAACGTCCCCCAACACTGCATGGCACAGCAAGGATTGGCTCACTGAAGTCACCTCTGGGAGTGGAGAGTAGACTAGGCATGTGCTTATTAAAACTGGTGTGGTGTACCTCCCACACTTTTTAATTTGTCTCGTTGAAGCTTTTAGAGGTGAGCTTGAGTTTCAGAGTATATTTTGTGTGGACTGGGTCAGTGGAAAATCTGTCCTCTTCAGATATGTCCCAACCCTTATTTGTCCTGCATCTCATCCCTGGCTTGGGGGTGACCTCTGCTTCAGGACTCTCAAGGTCATTGGGGTGGAGTGGCTTTGGAAATACAGCCTTTAAGAATAGGATTTCATTGAAGGCCATAATGAAATAATCAGGGTGACCTTCAAATAAGATTAAACCACCACCAGGATTATTATTGACGCTTCCTTGTCAAAGAAGAAATGCGCACAGGATTTTCAACGTGGACGGCATACATGCTTATCTCTGCTGCTTATGAACTGCTCTCACACTTTTGGTCACAGATAAAAAGAAGACATGAATTCAGGAACATGTGTGAAGTTCAACAACCTTCCTTTTGTTACTAAGTTATTTTTCCAAAAGAACAGCAAAAATATTCTTGATTTGAAAATAGAACTTTTCAAGTGCTACTGAAATTCAGCAGAGAATTAAACTTCAGTGCCTGGTTCGTTAACCTAGAAACATTCTAACTTGTATTGGTAAAAGATGTACTTTTATTTTTTTAAAAGAATAAAATCAAGAGAAACTAATTTTCAACTAGTGTGTGGTGATCAGTAAATGCTGCTTTGTTTGTGCTTTTGTGTTTGCTCGTGTGGTGGTGAAGAACTTGTCTTTTAACCAAGTAACTAAATATGAAAAAAACCTGCTTTTTAAATATTTCCCTTCAAATCAGCTCCTTAGAACTGCACTTGGGATACGTGTGTGTTGTTCAGGGTATATTAGCATTTAGTCATTCAGCAGTCTTCTCGGTTTCCATATTTACTCTTTTCTCAAATCTGTTTGAGCCCACCGAGTCAGTGCATGGAATCATTTGTGTCAAATGAAACTTTGCAAGGAGTCTCTGTCCAGAGCACTCAAGCTGAGGAAGGAAAGGGCCCATGGCCTGGTCTTTTAAGGCCCTTTTTAAAGGGTTGTTTAAAAAAAAACAATCTGTGACAGAGACCATATATAAACTAAAGTATTTACTCTCTGGTCTTTACAAAGTTTGTCAACCCCGGTTGGGCAAAGTCGTTTGTGTTTTAACTTAAAAATTCAAGGAAATCTTGTATTCGTCACATTACACGTGTACTGGTTTTGATGGATAAAGATGTTCTTCCTGGTCATGTTCCTCCCTGAGTCTTGAGCTGTCTACCTCTTGGCTAGAGAAGCCCCTTGCAGAGACTCATTTTGCATCTGTTCTTTTTGCCAGGTAGGAGCTTGTGCAATTTATTTCACCTCCCTAGGCCTGTTTCTCCACTAGGGTCATTGTCAAGATTAAAGGAGAACTACCCCCCCCCCCC